CTGTTCATGCTTGGGCCCCAGGTCCCTTCTGGCCCTTGCCCGAGGGTTCAGCCGGCGTGGGGAGCCAGGGAGCAGGGGGATATCTGTGAGAGAGACAAGAGAAGCAAAACAACGTCAGGTTGTGGGGAATCCTGGGCAGGAGGCACTGAGGGAGGAAAAGCTCAGTGGCCCCAGTCTCCTCTTCCAGCCTCAGTCAGCCAGGTTCACACTGGCTGCAGGACAGGGGAGAGTGTCGAAGGAAGAAAGGGTGGAGGGTCCTGCCCAGCCTCCCCCGACACCCAGGGCCTGGAGCCCCCGGCAGAGCTCCTTTAGAACACGACTGTCATAATCTCTCATAATTCGCAGACAAGAGGAGAAGGGTGGCATCAGGTGAGCCAGGGCTGGTAGGGCACTGCCTAGAGAGACACTTCAAACCAATGCCAATGGTTCAGGCTTTAGGGCCTCTCCCAGGCCAGCCCCCTGGCCAGCCCCAAAACATTCCAGCTCAGCCAGGCTCCTCCAGGAGACAGCAAGAGACAGACCAACAGTGGGTCTACTGAGGTCAGGGGCATCCTTTGAACAGAGGGCTGTCCTCTGATGCCCTTGAGGGGTCCCCACTCATCTGCTGCCTCCGTCAAGGCATCAGTGCTCCACAGCCCTCTCTCACCTGCCCCAAGCAGCCCATCTGACAACCTACAGCAGAAGGGCAGTACTATTTAGAAGACTTCTGGCATCACTCCCTAGAGAGGAAGAACCCCTGGTTGATGATGGAATTGCAGAATGTTAGAATTAGAGGGGACTGAGAGATTAAACAGAAGTCCTGGTGGCACAGTGGTTAAAGCACTCAACTGCTAACTGAAAGATCTGCAGTTCGAAACCCATCAGCCATCCACAGGAGAAAGATGGAGCAGTCTGCTTCCATAAAGATTAGTCTTAGAAACCCTAAGGGGCAGTCTATTCTGTCCTATAGGGTTGCTATGAGTCAGAATCGACTCAACAGCAGTGGTTTTTTGGTTTGAGAGATTAAACACTACCAGACAGGGCCCATGACTTGTCAAGGTCTCACAACTAATCAGACTTAATCTATTCCCACGTTTGAGAAACAGCCCAGTGCACCTGGGCTTAACCTCAGCTCTGCCACTTGCTAGCTCTGTGCCCTCTTTCTTCAACTGTAAAATGAGATTTCCAAACTTGCAGGATAAAAAGAGAATGAAAATAAGAATGAGAGACAATGCATAAAAAGCATCTAGAACAGTAATTAGCATATGGGTGTGCAATCAACAATGGTTATTATAATATTATTGTTTTCATTAAAATATAAACTATATGTGAGCAGAAATCACACCTTACACAGTAAGCTCAGCCCTGAGAACCTGATGGATGCATGAATGGATGGATGGATGGATGGGTAGACGGATGGATGGATGAGTGTGCAAAAGGCAGCTGTTCCAGGCCTAAACTCAAAACAGAGCCCCAGTCAGTTACCGAGTTGTTGAGCAGACCCTTACGTGCTCAGCTTTGAGTGTGTTAGTTTCAGGAGGCCTAGAATATTTGCTTCCTGTGCTTGAGAAACGTATAATCTATTTATAAAATCGAGCTGACATGCAGGAAGCACAATTTTGACAGCAGAAGAGAGCTTTCCTAATTCATTTCTATATTGTGGGCTCTAGTCTGTAGATGTCAGGAGAGGGCACAGGGAAGGGAGACCAGAAAGACTAGGAAGTCAAAGTAGGCTTCCAGGAGGAACTGAGCCTGGAGCTGGGTCTTGAAGGGTGAGCAGCTTCTGAAAGGCAGGGGAGGCTGCGGAGGCACTCCCTGGAAGGAAAATACAGAAGATCAATAGTGTGGCCGGGGGGCCTCCAGCTCAGCACGCTAAGGGAGGGGCTTCTTTCCTTGGTCCCTGTTCTTGGGATCATCTCCTCTTGACTCTTTCTGCATACTTGCCCCCCAACTGACCCAGGGCAGAACTTGGAACAGAAGGACTTTCTTCCCCAGTAAAGGCCTCAAAGCCTCTGGATGCATGCCTAAGAAGCCCAAGGCCATCCCGATACATAACTGGGGCAGGGGATGAAGATGACATTCACCCAAGGACTACTCTTCCTTGGCAGCTATATTCATACTCACAACTATGACTCAGGGCAGCTCAGACTCAGAGTCAGACCAAAGCTTTAGTCAAATACTGTCCAGGAGCCACCACTCCCTAAAGGTGCTGCCTCCAGCCTCCCCCCAACCCCCCACCGCCCACAAGGCATTCTGACTGTTCTCTCTGCTTGCTCTCTGACAGGTGGATCACAGCTGACTGGGGGCCTTGCTTTCATG